GATTACTATTTAAGATTTCATCAAATTTTTTTGCGATATAAGGATTTTATGTATGAAAGTACTGCTATGATAGTAAAATATATGTCAGGTACATACCTGGTTGAAATGTTGCTGTAACTTTTCATTGGTCAAATTAATGCAAAACTGTTCGAAACTGCATGAAAGAGATTACTTTCATTTGCAGAAAATAAAAACCCTCAGGAGTATTTAAAACTGCACTTGCAAAAAATATTGACTGGTAAGGCTTGTTTACCAAACCTTTATAATGAAAAAGAAAGGAGAATTAATAGCACAAACCATGCCAGCATTGAACTTTGGGTTATGGCTTGATTAATAAACTTTATTGACTTTTATTTTCTTTAAAAATTCCCTCATTGTAGTTTCGTTCTCTGTGAAACTATCTAGTTGCTCATTAAACTAAGAGAAACGATCCAAGATCATAACATAAACCTATCAGAAAAGAAGAAACTAAACAACTGGAGTACTAGTTTCATGGCAATGTACTTTAACAGAACTTTAATACACGCTCTGCAAGAAATGAACCTCTATGTATGATGAAAATAAATTAAAAGCATACCAGCTAAGCACCTTTTGTCTTGAAACTCTCAAATCCATAAATATCAAGAACCCCGATCAACAACTGAGAATCGGGATCTTGGCCAATAGATTTATTAATCTTTTCAACAAGCCTGAATAAGAAAATATGTAAAATGTGCTACATCTGATACTGACAAGGACTGCAAAACCTAGCAATTTTGGCAACTTACCAATCAAACAGTTTAGAGTAGACAGTTTTTGCCAAAGCATCTCTACTTATAGAAGCAGCTCGGGGATCCAGACATTTTGTTATCTTCTCATCACGAGTTACAGTGATACGCTTACATAAAGAATCCTCTAATGACTTCTCATCACACCTAAGCAAAACATAACAAATGATGACCTTTGTGTGCTTGAGAACAGAATACAATCTAAGATATGTTGAGAAACATGCAGAGAGAAACTCACATGAAAAGTTCAGCCAAAGTTTTAAGATGGAAGCGAGACTGATCATCCTTAGGTTCTGCAGAATCAGGCTCGCTTCCCTTTACAAATTCAATGTTGCCCAAGTGAAGTATTGCAGCCACAACTCTAAAAATGGCATCCTGCCAATGGATTTATTAATAGCATCTTCACCAGGCCATCCTTTTATAAATAATAGTGTTTTGATTCTAATACCTGAACGTCAGAACTGATCCCTACAACATCCATGGCTCGCCTGGTGGCGAGGTATTCTTTAGATTCATCCACTTCGGCCAATTCAAAAAATTTTGACTGGTTTAGATAATGGAATTTCCTAGGATTCCCCAATTTGTACTTTTCAACATCCTGATAACAATTATTTGAAAAGGAATAAAGTATGAATGAATGAAACAGGAGTAGGAGTTATGGTAATAAGTGTGATACTCTAAAGTTGATGATTAATAACTGGGGATCATGAATATAGTCACTTTTAGGAAACAAGTTGAAGAGTTGACATAAACAATCTAACATCTTGGAGGACAATTATTGGTCAGAATTTAAATGATATGACACGCCTAGCTGTAGAAAAAGATTGTACAGGGCAGTGGGGCAAGTGAACA